AAAAAAAAAAAAAAAAAGAATGCCATAGAGAGAAATCTGCCTTGCTTGTCAAAGGAGTACCACTTCTACTCTAGAATTTAGGCAATTTCACAAGAGGGATCTTCAGCCCCAGTTCCCTGTCATCAAATACATTCTTAAATTGCCTCCCAGAGAGTGGTTTTGTAAGAAATAGACAGAGTGGAAACAAAAAGGGAGAAATTATGTGGTAGTCAACCTAGAGGTTTGTCCTATCATCATACAAAGCAAGAAAATCTATTCTTAAGCTCCCGTGAGCACACAGAAATCCATAATTTCTCATGGTTTATGGGCTTTCCATCCTTCCTCTCCCAACCCATAGCAGTGTTCCCAATTTCCACGACAATATAACAGGCCATGAAGGGAACTCTCAATGGTTTCTTTGCCTTGAGATCATCCTACACATTTCCTACCGGAGTGGCAGAAACAATATCCTCTCTCTGCTTACAGTTTTGAAATGAAAATATCCCCTAAATAGTGGCTGCCTGAAATAAACACTACATTTCCCACATGCTCCCTTGCAGCAAGAGGTGGGTATATGGTTAAACCCTAGCTAATAAGATATAGGTAGAAGGATCTTGAGCAACTCCCACAGGTGACACCGAGCATGTTCTATGTGCCCTTCTTTACACCTTTCCTCCTTCCTGTTAGCTGAAGGAAGGGTGTGAGGATTGCAGAGTCTAGCATCCTTCTTGGACCATGAGACAACTGTAACTCCCCAGGGAGTGGACCAGAAAGCTGAAATGAACCTGAGGCTCTGGGCTCTGGGCTCTGGATTGCTGACTTAAGTGAGATCATAAAACCTTATGTGTTTTGTATAAACTGTTGATTCCATTGTAAGTGGATTCACTTTCAGAGGAAATATCTGGTACCAAGAACAATCAGATACTAAGAAACTCCTCTATAGTTCCAGAATTAGTCCCAGGCAATGCAGTGCCAGGGATAAATTTCCCTCCTTCCTATATGCCCCCATTCTAAACATATTAATTTCAGGGACTGCCAAGCTGCCCCTCCCCTCCCTCCTCCCTACTCCTGCCCAAATGGAATATGCCATCAAAGCAGCCACACAGAGTGACCAGATGTTCATGGCTAAATTTTGACTCTTACCTGGCAGCCAGTCCCATAGCAAAGCAACCCTGCAGAGCCAGTCTTTTCTTGTGCCAGCTGCCCCACCATTGGGGTAGTCTGGGGACAATCAGAAGAGCTGATATTTTCTGAGCTTACTCTGTGCCAAGCTCTGGTCCAAGCATCTTGGATATTGCAATGAGTTGCAGCTGCTCAGCAACACTAACGTACTGTTATTGTCCCTATTTTATAGGCAAGGAGGCTGAAATACAGAGAGGTTAAGTAATATGCCTGGGAAGTCTCAAAGCCAGGACTGAGACTGACAGGGACTTGCCTGGTAGCCTGTGCACATGCCCACTTCTCTACACTGCCTCTTAGTGGGGAGACAGGGAGCAGAAAAAGAAAATTTTTAAAATAGACAGTCCAGAAGGGCATAGTGGCTCACACCTGTAAACCCAACACTGGGAGGCTGAGGTGGGAGGACTGCTTGAAGCTAGGAGTTCAAGGCCAGACTAGGCAATATCACAAGGCCCCTTTGTTACAAGTTTGTTGTTGTTGTTTTTTTTAATTTGACAGGTGTGGTGGTGTGCACTTGTAGTCTCAGCTACTCAGGAGGCTGATGCAGGAGGATCACCTGATCCCATGAGTTTGAGGCTGCAGTGAACTCTGATCATAACACTGTGCTCCAGCCTGGGCAACAGAATGCAACCCTGTCTTTAAACAAACAAACAAAAAAAAGACACTCCTATCTCTAAAGTGGCTATATATCATTACAAACTTTAATTCTGCCTTTTTCTCATAACACCAGAAAATTCCTGTTATCTTCCAGACTTTGAGTTAAAGGATCTCCTATTTCAGATGTGTCATGCTTTGCACATTCCAAAGTGCCATTCCCATCCATCAATAACAGCAGAGCAGGTGGCACAGAAGAGCCGTGGTAAAATGTTCAAAAATCGCCCCCGGCCTCAGCAAGAGACAAAGACTGAAACTGATTCATGCAAATGAAAGGCAACCTCAAAGAAGAAAGTACACATTCCAGCACCAAGACACCACTGGCGTTTTGTTTGAGGGGTCAAAGTTCAAGAAAACAATCTAAACTTGTTTGCACCAGGGCCTAAGTTCTTGCCACTTAAAGAGGTTTGAGGAGTCCTCTGGTGTGGTGTGGAAGGTCCAAATCTTGGTAAGAGAGGCTGGGTAGGCTGGCAGGGCTCACTGAGCCCACTGAGGCCCTGATCTCAGAAGAGTAAGCATGAGTCTCAGAGGAGCACAGTGCCATGCTGCCAGCAAGCGAACATTCTGCACCACTGACAATGCTGCCTACACTCACTAGGGATCACTTTACTTTTCCCTGGAGGGTGGAGATACAGCCACAAAACTGTCAGTCAGTGCTAAATCACATGTCAGACTTCCACACTCAAATACTTCTTTTGATTTAAACCCAGCTCACCAAGGAGGTGGTCAGTTTGCCCCGAAAGATACAATACCCCAGGAATGTGCTGTTTCTTACCAAACTCAATCTCACCAAGGCTAAGAGTGAAAATTTAAATTTAAAAAGAAAGAAAACCATGCACACACAAACTTTCCAGATCAGAGGTCACAAATTTAAAAGCCTACAGGGCCCAAAAATGGGTGAAGTGGTCCTAACTGGGATCAACTGAGACAAAATGGTAAGGCTGTGCCCCGTCTAAGATAACGGCTCTCAGCTCCAAACGATTGTTTGCACACGAAAGTGAGACCATTTCTCAACAAAGTTAAAGTTGGAAATTAGGATGTATATGTGAAATCTCCCAGTCCTAAAATGTTGACATCAAATTCACAAAATGTTTAAGACACCCTAAGGGCTACACAGAGCTGTGGGTGACTTTTGGTCCTGGAACGCCAATTTGCAATCTGTCTTTTAGACATGAGCCCCAGAGACAGCAGTGGGGGGGAGGGGGCACCTTACACATAATCAAATCTCAAGCCACCACCAGCAGGTTTGATACCCCTGGTTAGAGTCCAGGATCTCAAGCCAGATGCAGGAACTCAGGTAACCAGTGCCTGGAGACCTTTGTGTTTCTACCCAGAAGATAGAGAGTGTGATTTAAACCAGGATCTGAGAGACACCCCATCTAGAACTACTTCTTTCAGAGAGAGAGGAGGCCCATGGGACAAACACAGTCACCTTTCTAGGGGATGCACCATCTGCAGAGGAGCAGCAGCCACCTGCAGAGACCTCTGCAAGGCAGGGAGAGGCAGAACCTCCCTGGGTGTGATAAGGCAGGGACATGGGCAGAGAAAGGAGGAGGAACTGAGGAGGACAATTTCTCCCAGAAGCATCCCGGGAAGACACTTTCTCCCCCAGCAGAACTGATCATGTCAGGATCTCTTCAGGAGACAGCTTTGACTCTTCCAGAGCTGGGAAAGGAGGAAGGGTAGGTGCACTTCCTTGCCATGTAAGTCTCCCAGCTCCATCGGCCCCAATCACACACACACACCCCTTAAAAGGACCCTGTTGTGGTGAAGAATTCCTAGCCTGGGAGGTCACTCTGACCAACGTGATTCTTTCACTCTCTGCCTAACTCAGTCACTTCTATAAAGTCTTTTTCGCCCTCTCTTCCCACAAATAGCACCCCCAAAGCCCCAGAGCCTACCTTGGCACTGGAATCCCTGCTTCCCGAAGCCCCTGCAAAAGCAGAAGGAGGTGTATGTCAGGCAGCCCCGGGGGCCCAGCCTCCAGCTAGTTCCCCACAGAGTCACTCCCCTTCCTCCCCGCCGCTGTACCCCAGGTGCAACCTCGCAGCCACAGGCGGGTGCCCAAGACTCTTCCGCCTTTGTGGGGGTAGGTGGGAGCTCGGCTGTAACCCCCATCTCCCCTCACTCTGCAGAAGAGAGAAGGCTGCGACCACCAGGTGGCGGGATAGGGGGAACCGTTTCCGTCGGGGTCGGGGCTGAGGGCAGGCGGGAGATCTGCCCATAGATGCCCCGAGCACCCTCAGAGGAAGAGAAGAGATGAAGACGCATTCAGAGGGAAGGCAAGAGTGACCCCGCCGCGGTGGTGTCCCCTGCGAGGGGGACTGGGAAGGAGGAAAGGACGCCCCACGACTGGAGAGACGGGGGGCGGGAAAAGGGGGCCCGCAGTGATGTGAGAGGGGAGGACCGAGGAGTGGAAAGGGGAACCCAGGCCCTCGGGGAGGCTCAATGGGAGATAACACATGGCGCTGCCCGGAGGCACAGAAGAGAGGGAAAGGATATCCCATGCCCGCAGGGAGATAAGGAAGGACACCCAGGGCCCTGCCCTCCGGAAACAAGAGGTGGGGGCTAGGGCTCCTCGCGCCCGGAAGCAGGAGGAGAGACAGGGAACCCCAGGCCGGAGAGCACCCGAGGCGCTGCCCTCCAGGGCAGGCACAGACCCCGCGCGCTTCTAGCCAGGTGGAGCAAAGGCGCCCGCGACGCTGCCCCTGGGCGCTCTGGAGGTGCCTGGGAGCAGGAAAAGGCAGGAGGTGCCCCTCGGCGGCCCGTCTGGGACCGGGGTGAGGACAGGGCACCCGCAGGACAGTCCCTCCCGGAGTCCCCGGCAGCAGGGTCCGGAGCGGGGAGTCAGGGGACGCGGGGTCCCGGGGCGCGGAGAGGGGGTCCCCGGCGCAGCGCTGCCCTCGGGGGCCGGGGAAGGTGCCCTGCGCGCGCGCTCACCAGATGAAGTCGGTGCAGTGGCTGCAGAAGGTGGGCTGCTTGAAGAAGCGAGCGGTGAATTTGTGGTTCTTGACCTCGTGCACATTCTTCTGCCGGAGGGCGCCTTTGCGGGCGAAGCGCACGGTGCTCTCCTCGCCCTCACTCGGCGGCGGCCCCGCAGCCGGGTCAGCCATCTTGCGCGCGGGGAGCCGGAGCCGGAGAGGTACCGGCCCCGGGGCCGCGGGAGCGCGGGCTGTGGGCTGCGGGCTGCGGGCCGGGGAGACGCGGGAGGCTGCGGCCGCTGCTGCACCCGGGGCCGCGGGCGCTTCCCCTGCGCCGGCTCTGGCGGCCGCGGCGCGCGGAGCCGGAGCTGTCACTCGCCCAGCTGCTGCCGCTCGTCCAGCTGCGCTTGGCACCGCTGGCCCCAGCTGCGGGGGAGGGAGGCGGAGCCCCTGGACGGCCCCGCCCTCCTCATTTGCATCTCGCCCAGGCCCCGCCCAGCGCCGCCAGCTGCTTTACATATCGGCGCCCCGGCGGCCTCCGGCCTCGCGGCGAAGTGTGCACAGCCGCAGCGCTGCAGCGCGGGGACTGTGGCCCGGGGTCGCCGAACCTGAGCCTCTCCCTTCACCCCACCCCGTCCTCGGCCTCTGGGCCCGCGTTCAGGAGATGAGCCCCTTGGGTGCCCCCGGGAGGAGCGAGAGTGGAAGGACCTACGGGGCGAAGGGGAGGGAGTGGAAGGGGTGGGGCGCAGCGAATTCCACTCGGGCCTTTGCGGAGACTGGTACCCATCCACCCCCATCCATCCCATTGGTCATTCTGCACGCGTCTCCTGGAGGGATGGGCTCCCTCTGTCACTCATTAGGAAAGGCTTGTGGCCGCACACACTTACACACACATACACACACACGTTCTGCAGAGGTAGGGGAGGAGCGATCTTATATATCTCTAACTCCACCACAAAGAAGATTGTTGGCTTTGCTTGCTGCCTGCACGTTTGGAAAAGAACTCCCTACCTTGTGTCCATCCCCTCTGCAAAGGGTCTCCGTTTCCCCTGCTGTAAAATAGGGCTAATTGTGTCGGGAGGAAGGATTTCAGTAGATCAATATTTCTCCAAATTTCATTCATTTCTGACTCGTCTTCACAAATTCTGGTCATATTTGTGCACCAACTGGGGGGAAAAGAGCCTATCTCTTTTTATCTATTTGAGTTTGAATAGCAAGAGGTATCTATATTATTAAAATATCTCCAGGTGCCGTCATCTGTCCAAAGCATCTCCGACTGAAGTCATCTTTTATTTGCTAAGAGAGGAAATTAACAAATGTTAGAGAAGGGTTAAAGACATTAATATCCAACCGGGACCCTCTCCTTGATGGGATCTGAAGCTAACTGAAAGGGTAATAATTGTCTATATGCGTAATTCAGTGTTATTTAGCACCCTGTTCATGCATGAGGCCTAAACACACCCACTGCCACCATGTCCCCCACTCTGGGAACACAGAGCTTCATTAGACCGTGAGCTGCTTCACCAGACCTAGGCTCTGTGAGAGCAAGGGGCTGTTCACCATCATGTTACCCAGCACCAAGCTCAGTGCCTGACACCTCCTAAGAGCCCAATAAATATTAGCTGATTGAGTGCATGGATGAACAAGTGAATGAATGAAGACTTAAAGGACAGCACTCCTTACTCCCACTCACATCCACGAGGCATTTAATAATAAATATCGAGTGACTGATGGGCATCAGGTACTTGTGCTGTCTTATTTAGCCCCCACAACGGCCCTATGTAGGTCTGGTAACTTTCATTATGGATAAGGATAGTGAAGTTCAGAGTGATTAAGACACACCCACAGTCACACCGTTGCTGAATGGCGATTGGGCTGGCCTGACTACAAAGCATCCTGGTGACAAAGGGGTGAACCTGAGTAGCGGTGGATGAAGGAGGGCGGGCTGGAATTGCAAGAGCTCAGGTCCCACTATGACAGTTTTGCCTGGAAGCTGCTGAGTGGTAAGTCATTATTAGGTAGCATATCGAGAGTAAGGGCTGCAATAATAGAATGTCCCTCTCCTACATAGTAATTCAAAGGTAAAAAGGAAAAAATAGCATTACTTTTAAGGTTGACATGTTTGGAAAACTGGATGTGCCTGTCTATTATTAGTCCTTTAAGAGGCCCCACCACCTCCCAGGGAGGCTTGGGAAAACATCCCAGGAGACATTGCTGCTGAAGTAGATTTCCTTTGAACTGATGAGCTGGAAGCTCACAGCCCACATCCTGCCTTTTGAATGAAGTGCCCTGAATGACTTTGGTCTGTAACAACAAACAGTACCTCATGGCGCCAGGGCCTGGGGATGCAAGGACTGTAGATGGAGAAGAGCCACTTGGTTCCTGAAGACATTGCACCAACTGAGGATGAGAAATGTGGTTCCCATAGGACCCAGATTCCTGTAGGTCAGGGGTCTCAAACTGGTGGCTCCAGATACTCTTTTTTTTTTAAGCTAACCTAGTATGTTTTATTTTTTTTATTTTTTTAGTTCACATGTCATAGAATTTTACCTAAATATCCAGATTCTGACTTCTCTAGGAAAAAAAGATATAACTAAATGAAACCTGCATTCCTGCATTCATTCATACATTTGGTCTTTCAATTAACAAATGCTTACTGAGCACGTATTATGTGCTGTTCCAGATACTGTTAAATAAACCAGACAAAGGTCCCTGCCCTCATGGAGCTTATAGTCTAATGGGGAAGGGGGAGTAATAACCTAACCAACTAACAAATCCATGCCAGGTGGTGTATAATAGAATGTTTCTAAAGAAAAATAAAGCATTATTATAAAGACCATAGGGAAAACCTTTATAATATAGGGACATCTGAGCAAGGCCTGAATAAAGTAAGAGAGTGAGCCAGGGGACTATCAAGAGGTTCCAGACAGAGAAAACAGCAAATGCAAAGAGTCTGGGGGAGGATCATACTACATGTGTTGGAGAAACAGCGAGAAGGCCTCAGTGGTTGGATGAACAGAGAGGGGAGAGGACTTATGAAATGAGGTCAGGGAGGTAGCACGGCCCCAGAGACTTTGTAAATGTGATAAGGAGTTTGGATTTAACTCCAGTGGATGGAAGCCATTGGAGGGTTGGAAGCTGAGGAGTGGCCTGATATGACTTACAGGGTTTTCTTTTTAAAAGCTTACCCTTATGCTAGCTACTATGTGCAAATTCTATTGTAGGGGAGAAAGGGTGGAGGCAGAAGAGTGGTGAAGAGGTCAACTGAGTAGATCAGGCAAGAGATTAGGGCAACATGGCATGGTGCCACCTGGTGCTGCAGGACAGTGGCTCCCTGTAGATTGGGAATGTGCCCTCCCTCCGTGTCACCAGAGCCCCCCAGGCCCACTCTATTCAGGAAGGAGTGAATGCTGGCCACTTGAAAGATGTCAGAGGCAGTGAGCGGGCACGTTGCTCTGGCAGGGAATGGCGTCCAAGTTCTCTTCGTTACAGACCTGTGGCTGCCATAAAAAATTCTAACAGAAAAAGGCCAGACACAGTGGCTCCCACCTGTAATCCCAGCACTTTGGGAGACCGAGGCAGGCAGATAAGGAGGTCAGGAGATCGAGATCATCCTGCTAACACAGTGAAACCCCATCTCTACTACAAATACAAAAAATTAGTTGGGCATGGTGGCGCACGCCTGTGGTCCCAGCTACTCAGGAGGCTGAGGCAGGAGAATCACTTGAACCCAGGAGGCAGAGGTTGTGGTGAGCCAAGATTCTGCCACTGCACTCTAGCCCGGGTGACAGAGCGAGAGTCCATCTCAAAACATATGTGTGTGTGTGTGTGTGTGTGTGTGTGTGTGTGTATTATATATATATGTGTGTGTGTGTATTTTTTTGTGTGTATATATGCGTGTGTGTATTATATATATGTGTGTGTGTGTGTGTGTGTGTGTGTTTATAAAAATTAAAAAATTAGCCAGGCATGGTGGCAGATGCCTGTAATCCCAGCTATTTAGGAGGCTGATGCAGGAGAATCACTTGAACCCAGGAGGCAGAGGTTGCAGTGGGCTGAGACTGCGCCATTGCACTCCAACCTGGGCAAAAAGAGGGAAACTCCACATATATATATAATACACACACACACATATATATATGCACATACACACACACACACACACACACATACACACACACACACACACACACACACACACATATATCAAAACAGAGTGGCTAGCAATACAAAAATGTATTCTCTCATAATTCTGGAGGCCAGAAACTATAAGTCAAAGTGTCAGCAAGGCCACATTCCCTCTGGAGGCTTCAGAAGGGAGCGCTTCCTTGCCTCATGCGGCTTCTAGAGGCTGTCAGCATTCCTTGGCTTCCCTGGCTTGTGGCCACATCACTCCATCCTGCTCTGTCTTTACATTACCCTCTCCTTGTGTGCCTGTCTTCACCTCTTCTGTTTGTCTAATATCCCCCGTATACCTCTTTTTTTTATTTTTGCTTTTCAAGATGGAGTTTCCCTCTTGTTGCCCAGGTTGGAGTGCAATGGCGCAGTCTCAGCCCACTGCAACCTCTGCCTCCTAAGTTCAAGTGATTCTCCTGCATCAGCCTCCCAAATAGCTGGGATTACAGGCACCTACCACCACGCCTGGCTAATTTTTGTACTTTTAGTACAGACAGGGTTTCACCCTTTTAGCCAGGCTGGCCTCAAACTTCTGACCTCAGGTGATCCACCCACCTCAGCCTCCCAAAGTGCTGGGATTACAGGCATGAGCCTTTGCGTCCGGCCTCAACCCCCCTATTCTAAGGTTGCAGTCTTCAACACAGTTGTCACGGCAGCCACACATGGCTGCTGAGCATTTGAAATGTGGCTAGTCTGAATTGATATATGATTTCAAGCATAAAAATATACACTAAATTTTAGGCATCCAGTATGAAAAATAACGTAAAATACCTCATAAATAATTTTTATTAGCCTAGTGTGGTGGTGCACACCTGTAGTCCTATCTACTTGGGAGGCCGAAGCAGGAGGATTGCTTGAGCCTAGGAGATTGAGGCTGCAGTGATCCATGATCACACCATTGTACTCCAGCCTGGGCAACAGAGCAAAATCCTGTCTCCAAATAATTATAATTATTATTATATTTATCCTTATTGCATATTGAAATTATAATATTTCTGATATATTGATAATCAAATTTCTGTCTCAAATTAATTTCACCTTCTCTGTTTGT